ATATCCTCATTGTTCTAAAATAAATGTTTAGTCCCATATTTAGTTGTTTATAAGTTAGAGAAGTGGCCAGTAACGGCTGTTTATTTTAAAAAATTGTGTGGGGAAATATAATTGGTTTATTATATTGTTTATTATTTTAGTTACAAAGGAAAAAATATATAAAGCAGAAAGTAATGGATGGATGGAAGAAAATGTTTTTATACTGTCAGTTTCAGAGAAAACAGACATAAAATGTCAAACAACAAGATTTTTTAATACAATACTTAATCCCTAAATGTTTAAATATGTGCTGAAATCAATATAGTTGAGCCCCACTTTATTCTAACTCTTCAACAACACAGACTTATAAACTGGGTTTTTGGAAAGATTTCAGGATCTGGGTTCTCTCAGAGCCCCATAAAGAGTTCCCTCTATGGCGCTGGGTTCTCTGCTAGAAACGAGTGACGTCACATTGACGCTGTAAGAGCCAATCAAATAATCGGTAGCCCTCACGAGGCGGTCTCAGTGCTGCATTTAAAGTGTCAGCATGCGGTAGTCCCCGGGCTGTGTTTGACTCCGTGAAGACTGTCAGTCCAGGAGTTTGACTGAAACTCACCATGAAGTTTATTTTGTTGTTGACTCTGACAGTTTGGTTGAAGTCCTCGTCTTCCGGCGGCTCACCGACTTCTTCATGTGTCCATCCGCCGGGAAAGTGGTGCTCGTCTTTGGACTCAGCTATACAGTGTGGGGTAGGTTTGGATTTAGGCTAAACATTATCACCCGACAGCGGACGGTAATGTTTTTGCCTGTGTGTGAGTGGTTGCCTGTTAGGAAATAAATATCTCGTGTGCCAGCGGAGGGATTTTAATGTTGTTTACCTTTCTGTAAGTGGAGAGAGTAAACAAACCGTTCAAACCTGTTCCCGAGGAGGAGAAAGCGTCACAAATATATCCCGACTCAAAAAGCATTATTTGTTTTTGTGATCAACATTATAATTATTTTACATTTTCTCATCCAAGTGTAATTCTTGCTGAAGTGGTATGAAGGTCCGGGGCGGGGGACAGGAAGTAAAATAAATTTACGCAGCAGAGAAAAGTCATCTGATTTAATCTGGGCAAAAACAGGAGGGACGATCCAACAAACCAAACAGCGAAGGTGAACATTGTGTTTTGTCTCTGAGCAGGGGCGCCACCAATGGGGGGCCAGGGAGGCAAGGACCTCCGTAAAAATTAGTACCCACCCCCGGCCAGACAGTTTTATGATACAAAACTTTATTCATAAAGCACTTTAAAAACAACACCAGCCAAAGTGCTGTACACTAACACAAACAAGCAAGCATTAAAAAAATAAAATCAATTGAAACCATAAAAGTAGTGAATTGTTCAAATCATTAAATCAGCAAACACTAAAAATAAATTAAAAACAGTAAAACCAACATTTCAATTTGAGTTTAAAGCCGTTAGTATATTTATCTAGATTGAGCCTGTTTTTTTTTTTTGTTTTTTTTTTATCAGCTCAGAGACGGGATTATAATGAAATTATGACCCGGTTCTGATTGGTTTAAACGGGGCCAGCAGCTCTTAAAAAAAAAAAAAAAAAAAAAAAAAGAGTCTCAATATCCGTCAAGGAAAAAAATAAAAAAGGAAGATTTTAAAACAGGAAGTGAGTCAGTTTGTCTGACGTGCAAATGTCATGATCTGGTGTTTAAGTGTCGAACCCACATGCAGGTAGAGACAGGAGGACTCCAAGGTAAAATAATGATTTATTCAACAAAATGCTGGCGGGGTAGCAAAACTTACAACAGAGAACAGGAGACCAGACCAGACCAGACCAGACCAGACCAGACCAGACCATGGACACCTTGCGTGTAGGATAATCCCTGGATAACAAGGGAGCGACAAGACCGAGACTTTATAGTGACACTAATGAGGAGAGAGGAGAAACACCTGAGATGATTGAGATTTGGATCAGCTGTGCAGGTGAGGTGCAGACAGACAGGGCAGACAATCCTCTCAGCAAAGGTAGTTCATTCCACAGTTTAGAGGCAGCGACTGAAAACGCTCGGTCACCTCTCAGCCTCCTGTTGGACTTTGGAATGACCAAAAGCAGCTGATCTGCTGACCTGAGAGGGCATGAGGGAACATACAGCCGGAGCAGGTTGGACAGATACTGTGAGACCATGAAGACATTTGAAAACAAATAAAAGAACCTTAAAATTAATCCAGAAACAAACTGGGAGTCAGTGTAGTGATTCTAGAGCAGGGGTGAGGTGCTCTCATTTTCTGGTACCACTTAAAAGATGAACAGCAGCATTCTGAACCAGCTGAAGTCCAGTCAGAAATGACTGACTCAGACCGACATTACAGTAGTCTAGATGAGCTGAGATAAAAGCATGGATTTAAATGTCAAAATTATGTTGTGAAAGAAATGGGTTGACCTTGACCAGTTGTCTCAAGTGATAAAAGCTGGACTTGATCACTGAATCTGTGCATCAAGTTTAAAATCATTGTCCAGCCTTACACCCAGGTTAGTTGCTGTCTCAGTCAGATATTTGGTTAAAGGACCCAGCTCAGCATGGACTTTGGAACCATCACTGGGCTTAAACAACAGGACCTCAGTCTTTTTCTCATTAAAATGTAAAAAGTTCTGTGATGTCCATACTCTGACTTCCGCCATGCATTCCAGGTGTTGGTTCAGGGAGGACTGTTTATCTTGTTTCAATGGAACATAAATTTGTCTGTCATCAGCATAAAAATGAAAAGTAATACTATGTTTTTAGAGAATAAATCCCAGAGGGAGTAAATAAAGGGAAAACAGAAGGGGGGCCAAGTATAGATCCCTGAGGTACTACACATGAGTGTTGTTACAGAGGACTCCACAGAACCAGGGCACAGACAAAAGCTCTCTGTTTAATAGGATCTAAACCTCTGTAGAGCAGGACCCTGAATGCCCACCCAGTTCTCCAGACGAGACGGGAGGATCTGATGGTCCACTGTGTTGAAGGCAGCGGTTAGGTCCAGCAGCATTAGAACTACACCGTGACCAGAGTCTGTGGCTAAGAGAATGATATTGAAAACTTTCAACAGTGCTGACTCAGTACTGTGGTGAGTTTTAAAACCAGATTGAAACAGTTCAAGAAGGTTGTGGTCATTTAAGTAAAATGTTAACTGGCTATAAACAATCTTCTTAAAGATCTTTCACACAAGGACATTTTTGCAATAGACCTAAAATTGGACATGTCTATGGAATCAAGGCCAGGCTTTTTAATCAAAGGTGTCACAACTGCATGTTTAAAACTCACTGGTACCTGTCCACTTGCCAAGCTACTATTAACAATTTTATTTAATTCACAAGGAGCCACCGTGTGAAAAGCCTTTTTAAAAAGACGAGGTGGGATGGGATCATTTGGAGGTCAAGCAGACTTCATACATCCAGTGATCTCTCTTAAAAAAAGGCAGGGTGATGAGCTCAAACTGATTGAAAACAGCAGAGCGTGTGACAGAGATGGAGGGGTCACAAGAAGGAGGGCTTATGAGCGAGCGCTCAAATGTTTGCAACCTTGTTGGTAAAAAAGCTCAGGAAGTTCTCGCACACTTCACTGGAGTTCTTTAGGCTGTCTGACTGTGGGGCATTAAGAACACAGTTCCATCCATCATCTTCATCTTGTTCTGAAGTCGAGTCGCAGGGGCAGCAGCTTGAGCAGGGAGGTCCAGACATCTCTTCCAGTTCCTCTGGGAGGACTCCAAGGTGTTCCCAGACCAACCGAGAGACATGTCTCTCCAGCATGTCCTGGGTCTTCCCTGGGGTCTTGTCCCAGGCAGACATGCCTGAAGCACATCCCTAGTGAGACGTCCAGGGAGCATCCTTACCATAGGTGAGGGTAGGAACGTAGACTGACTGGTAAACAGAGAGCTTTGCCTTACAGCTCAGTTCCCTCTTCACCACAATGGACTGGTACAGAGTTCGCAATACTGCAGACGCTGCACCAATCCATCTGTCAATCTTGCACTCCATTCTTCCCTCACTCGTGAACAAAGCCCTGAGATACTTGAACTCCTCCACTTGAGGCAGAACCTCACCCTCGACCAGAAGAGAGCAATCCACCCTTTTTCCAGTTGAGGACCATGGCTTCAGATTTAGAGGTGCTGATTCTCATCCCAGCTGCTTCACACTCGACTGCGAACCACTCCAGTGAGAGCTGAAGATCACGGCACGAGATCTAAGAACAGAGTTGATGGTTTTAAAAGGCACACGTGGATTGTTACAGTTGGAGGAAATGATGTCGGAGAAATGTTTTTTGCAGCTCTAACAGTGGACTGATAGAAACGCCAGCTGTCCCTCAGTGTTTGGAAAGACACCTGTAACTTGTCTGTCTTCCATTTTGCTCAGCTCTCCTGCCCTGTCGCCTGGCAGCACGCGAGACATTATCAGTCCAGGGCTTAGGTTTGGGTTTGGAAGGCTTATTTTTAGTGGAACCACAGCATCTAAAACAGTTTGATAAGCTGAGTTAAAATGAGAGGAGAGAGCCTCAACATCTGAACTAGGACCCAATGTGAGATCTAATGTGTGGCCACATTCCTGTGTTGGACCAGACACAAACTGAACAAAATTAAAAGAATCGATCAGCTGTAAAAGACCATCTTTGACCAACAGTTTATCAGCACAACACACGTGGATATTAAAATCTCCAACTGTTAAGACCCTGTCATATTTAGGCAGGACTCCTGTCAAAATATTTGGAGTCAGTCAGAAAGTCCTTGTTGTACTTTGGAGGTCTGTAAATAACAGCACACAGCACTGAGTGTGAAGATACAAGTTCAAATAAGTTGAACTCAAAACTGGAATAAAATGTTAAAGGTGTGATTTTGTTTACAGAGCTAACTCTTCATGTAAACAGTTGCTATTCCTCCTCCATGACAAGTCGTCCTTCGATAGGTGAAGTAGGTACAGTTCAGTGGCAAGAGTTCACAAAAAGCACTGGACTCACTGGAAGTCATTCACGTTTCAGTTATGAATAAAAAAATCCAGAGTGCGGGAGGTGAAGAAATTCTTCAAAATAAAGGTCTTATTGGTTAACGATCTAGCATTCACCAGAGCCAAGTGAACATGAGAGGGAGCTGGGGCGTAATTCATCTGAGGAGCTCCATTCAGCATCTGCAGGTTGTGATGATTCACCCCGGGCACACAAAGGTGCAGAAAGGAGAGGCAACGCACCGGTTGCCCCTCTTCCAGGCCAACAACAGGAATAAGAGCGGAGCTAATAGGATCCAAAGAGCGTCACTGGATGAAACTATTATATATGCAGTTCCAAACCCATCAGAGAGAGCGGCCGGCAAGGACACCAAACAGGTTTTCAGTCTCACCAGCTGTCCTCTGCGTTTCCCACGGCGTCTGCATGCTCTACATGCAGGAGGAGCTGGGGTGTGACACAGGTAGGCCGGCACATCCGACAGAAACCAAGGGCAAAAAGTTTTCTGACTATTGCTCAAATGGAGCCAAGTTATTAAAACAGGGTCAAAGATTAAAAGCATTTGGCGATAATAAACCAGCCGAGAGTTGGTAACCTGAGTTACAGAAAACAACACAAATACAATATAGGGGGCCGAGATGGGGCAGCCAACCCCGGACCTGAAAGCCCCAAGCTTGATCCCCAGCCATTCCCACATGCCGTGGTGTCTCTGAGCAAGACATCCAATCCCCAATTGTTCCCTGGGCGCTTGTATAGCTGCTCACTGCTCCACCTGAGTGGATCCCAGATGTGATTGGTTAAATGCAGAGAACTAACTTCATAATTGTATTGTTTTACTTTACAATCGAGGTTTGCAGACACGCCATCTTGAACCGGATATAAGACATGAATCAGGATGACTGGAAATGTATTTTTCCCAGTAGATTTTCCACACAAAGAAAATGTTAATTTTGTATAGTGTGTGTGTGTGTGTGTGTGTGTGTGTGTGTGTGTGTGTGTGTGTGTGTGTGTGTGTGTGTGTAGTAGTA